CATTCCTGGCTCCCGCCTGCCGGCAACATGGCCCCAGTAGCCCGTGGACAGTCCACTGAGGAGCCCCAGGCAAGGCCACTGGGAGCAAAAACACGTTAAAGTGGGGAGAGAGGCTCAGATACAGGGAGGGGGTCTGAGGATTGACAGTGTCCCTTGCACCCACTCTCCAAGCTCCCTCGCAGCTGGATGGCCATGTGGCCCAGCTCTGACCAATTAGGTCAGGGCAGAGTAGGCCAAGGAGGTGGGGGCAGAGGGCTCGGCCTCCGCTGGCCCCTTCCTGTCTCTCCTGAATGCACGGTGACTGCGCCTGCCTGCCGCGCAAACCCATGTCCTTGAGGGAGAGGCCAGGAGCGATGCGAAGATGCTGATTCCTGCAAACGCCCGTCTCCAGCTCTTTTCATGTTGGAAACAGAAAGCCTTTTGTTTAGGCCACTGTTAGGTTTTCTGGAACATCCCAATGGCTCCATGAGGCTTTTGGTTTTCTGAGTTGTTCAAGGCTCATTTGAGTTGGAAGGAACGGGAACACTCGCCAGGTCGCTCAAATAACTGAAATAACTTGTGGTGGGAAGCCAGGAGCAGCCAGGGTTCCGGCACAGCCGGGCCTGCACCCTCACTTCGTTGTTCTTCCACTGTTATTGTGTCGGCCCTCCCCCAGCGGAGCCCCTTCCCTCCTCCCAGCAGGAGAGTCTGGTCGGTGTCAGCTCCCAGGCGCCCCCTCTCTGGGCATTTCTCGGCTCAAGTCCTCTAGGAGGCAGTGTGTCCGGGAGTGTCCTTTCCTGTGGCCGCCTCAGGCGGAGGGTGGCTGTCCCCGGGTCAGTCCCCACCTCAGCTGATTGGCCCCAGCCAGCTGGCCCCCCGCCTCCCCCACTGTACAGGTGTCATGTGAAGAGCTATGGGGAGGCAGACACTGGCCCAGGCATGTCCAGGACAAGCACCTGCGGTTCTATAACGAGAGGACGGAGGAGGGGGAGGGAAGGAAGACTGAGGGAGAGAGAGGAGAGAGGGGGAGGGGTGACTTACAGAAAACAAAAACAAGGAGGAGATGTTTGCTTATTTCAAGTACATGGATGATGGAGAGAATGGGGTGGCATAGGGCTCTTCGTCTGCTCCGAGGCCAAACCAGAAGGACAGCCAGTACAGGCAGAGCTGGAGGCTGCACCTTAGGAGCATCCCAAGGCTATGACGAGTGCTGAAGGCAGGCGCCCCCCTCCCCCCGCAGCACCCCACTCATCCTGTGGTCCAGGTGGGGCCGTGGCTGGGGTGGCACCCGCCTTCTCTGCAATCCTGCGGGTTTAGGGTTTCCCGAGGCCACCTGGCATCTAAGCCGCCTTGTGCGAGGTCCCCTCACCCCCAGAGCTTTTGGCCAGCACCGTGTGGGGTGTGGGGTTTTCTCAGGGACAGATGCCAGCGTCTGGAGCCACGAACTCACCCTGGACTGGGATTCCTGTTCTGGAGAAACGGGACGACAGAGTGCTGGCTGTCATCTCGTCACTATAGACTCGCTAGCTCCTGGTTTAAGCAAGGGTTGTCGTTAGGCCTGCAAGGCTGTGTGATAATCAAATCCTATTTTATTGCCCCAGAGATGCTCAATATGTGAAGAGTTCTCTCATGTGCCATTTGGGAAGCTTAGCCATGGATGCCCAGGGGATCCTGGGAAGGCCTTAGCAAGCTCTGTAGCCCACAGTCCCAACAGGTCTGGGCACTGTCCACAGGCAATGGTGGCTGCCTTCAGGCGGGAGGAAATGAAGGCGAGAGAACGCCCTCCCGGCATGGGAGCATGCGTGGGCCCCAGGACAGCAGGGTCCCCTTGGGGTGCAGGGTGGGCGGGCCAGCCACCGGAAGCCCTGCCCCCCTCAGGCCACCAGGTTCACTGTGGGCAACGCACACCACTGATTTATAGACTCCAGTAGCCCCCTTTCCCCGCGGCTTCACTTTCCATGGTGTTAGCTATCCACGGTCAGCTGCGGTCTAAACATATTAAATGGAAAATTCCAGAAATGAGCAATTCATACGTTTTAAAATTGGGTGCCATTCTGAGTAGCGTGAAGAAATCTGTCACCGCCTCCCTCCATCCCACCGGGACTCCTCCCTTTATCCCGCGTCTCCAGGCCGTTAGTCACTTACCATTAGTCACTTAGAGGCAGTCTGGGTTATCAGATCGGCTGTCACAGTATCTCAGGGCTTGTGTGCAAAGAGACCTTCTTTTACTTCGCAATGGCCTCAAAGGCAAGAGTGGTGGTGCTGGCAGGTTGGATGTGCCAGAGAGAGAGCCGTGAAGTGCTTCCTTTAGGTAAGTGGTTCTCAACCTTCTGGCCCTTTAAATACAGTTCCTCATGTTGTGACCCAACCATAACATTATTTTCGTTGCTACTTCATAACTGTAATGTTGCCACTGTAAATATCTGATATGCAGGATGGTCTTAGGCGACCACAGTGAAAGGGTCGTTCAACTGCCAAAGGGGTCACGACCCACAGGTTGAGAATCACTGCTTTAGGTGGACCGGTGAGAACCGACAGGAAAGAACATGTATACGTAGGATTCGGTCCTATGGTGGTTTCAGGCACCCACCGACGTATCCCCGTCAGATAAGGGGGCACTACTATCCCTACTGAGAACCTGCCACGTGCTGGCAAAGTCGGCCAGACCGCGGCCGCCTCCCCTTTCCTGGCCGCCCTCTCTCCCCACCTCCTCCTCTCTGCTCTCTCCTCTCCCACTCAGGTTTTCAAAGACCAGCAAGGACAGAGTCTTTCTCAGGAGCACTGCCGGCTGGGAGTGGGGGGTGGGGGGCTCTGAAAACCCGAGGCCACAGAGCCAAAGGATGGTAACATAATGTGGACTTGGTGTGTGGGGGTCAACTCGAGGTTCCCAAAACACTCTGCCCCCTAAAGGGAGCGCCCCCCCCACACTCATTCAGCACACAGGGATGGAGGCCTCTGTGCTGGGACCTGCCTTAGCTGCTTCTGGCTGGCTGTGGCCTGAGGTGCTTGGGTCTAGGGTTTCGGAGTGAGCCCGCAGGACTGCTGGGCCTCCTGTACCTTCCACCCGCCCAGCTCCCTGCCTGACACCCCAGTGTGGGCACCCCTCCGCTGTGAGCGGCCGTTGGACATAGGTCATGATTTATAATCCCTTTCAGGGAATTATTGCTGCTAATGGGCCACGCTGATTTGTGCTTCCAAGGAGGGGAGGGCAAAATCAATTAATGGACAGTCTGCCGCGGCCGGGCCTCATGGCAGAGCGTGCCTGACATCCGCAGCGATAAGGGGCTTTCTGAGGCTGAACTAATAAGGAGATTGGAGGAAAAAGAAGAAAAACAACCCCCGATCAATTTCATGTACAATGGGCAGAGAAGGCAGAGTAAACAGCTGCTGGGCCCGGGCCTCGTTCCATCTGGATGAGCCCCGAGATAAGGGAGGGACAGGCCGCCCCCCCCGCGCCCCCCCCCATCCGACATCGGCATTCACTTACGGAGTCACTCAATGTGCACATATCCGCGCAAATGAAAAAGGGCACGTTCCAGCCGGAACCAGGGGAGAAGATAAGGCCCACCTGGCCCCGTACGTCCTGCAGGGGAAGGGCCGGGGGAGAGGAGCCCGGCTTCAGACCCTGCGCCTGACTGAGGGCCTCACAGATGGCACTACAGGCCTCAGCGACGGTCCTGCATGTGGTGGTCTGGGCTCCGGGGCCTCCCCACAGGGAGGGGAGTGGAGGGCATCCTGTATGGAGGCAGGGGTGGTGCACGTCTGTGTGGTGGGTCTTTGACTGTCCTCATGGCCAGAGAGTACGATGTCGGGGTCTGTCCAGCCCAACCGTGCGACCAGCAGAGAGGACGGGGAAGCTGAGGCGTGACTGCAGGGAAAGGCTCAAAACCAGCCAACCAGCCTTTATTGATCTCGTTCAGAAATTGTTTGGGAGCAGCAAGAGTCCTTCCCGCATGAAATCTTCCCCCGAGCCCGTGTGGCACAGCCGGGGGCTCTGTTTGGTGGTGGGAGCCCACCCACGGTTCGGAAACAGATGCCCTGGCCTACCTGGGCTTAGAGCAGATCCCAGGCAAAGTTTGGGTACGAGCAGTTCATCTGGGAACGGATCCCAGACAGAGACCCCAAAGAGAGAGGGGAGAGAGGCAGGGGAGGGAGGCAGCCACGCGGGGTGTGCTGAGCGGGTGCCTGCTGTGGGTTCCCAGGGCCTGACCCCCCTCAGGACCTCTGGGTTTCCCACTGGCAGCAAGGAAGCTGGGCTGTTTGCCCCCCAATTCCTATCCCTCGTGGTGGAGGGCTGCTCCAGGGAGGTTAACCCCTGCACCATGCCCGCCCTGCACCTGGGCTGCGGGGACCCCCGTGGCCAGAGTGAACCTCCAGGTGGAGACCTACAGGTGCTGGAGACCGGACACTGCTGCTGTGGACGGGGCTGTCCACAGAAGCTGTGCGTGGACTCCAGTGGCTGGGGGCAGGGGCAGGGCCCCTCCAGGATCTGTCACGGACTCTGAGTCCTTGACTCCCTGTCCTGAGCTGTGTGGTTGTAACTCCTGTGGGAAGAGCGCCTCTGTGGACCCAGTGAGGGAGTGGCCCCCTTGGGAGCGCTCCATGAAGAGGGACTCTGTGGACACCCCGTATTCAAGGAGCCCCTCTGTCTCCTTGCCTCTGCATCCTATGGAAACCCGAGGTTCAGAGCATTTGGAGCTAAAGCAGCAATAAGCCCGAGAAGGCGAGGACCGGGATGCAGATGGGGGTACGGACCACGGCAGACTTCATCCTGCCTCAGGGAGGAGCAGGCCTCCCAGGGCCTGAGAGGATGAGTGGAGGTGCCGGGAGCAGAGCGGAGGCCAGGGCTGCTCCTGGGTGTGTGGAGTCCTGACATGTAGTTTTTGTCTAAATAAGCAATTTGATTAAAAAATGTACCAAATTCACGAGTCCAGGTGAAATATAGGGATTTATTCAGAATATGGTGGAGGAGAGGTACTTTCTGACTTGTTCGTCCAATCAATGCGTGAGCAGATGCTGTCCCCACGTCTAACTGTGAGCCACTCAGAGCAGCACATCGGTGCCTAAGGACAGCTGCACCGGTCAGCAGGAGTGACCAGCTGGCCGGGCTGTCCTCCTGGAACCTGCACAGACCAAGGAGCTCAGCAGAGATATCTCCATCTCTGCCCCAGCAGGGCAGCTCCAGGGCATGAGGCCCGGAGCACCTTGGGGCCTCCGGTCACCCCTGTGCGTGAGTTGAAGAGCACCCTGAAGGGAGGAAAGAAAAATGAGGCCCACGTAGGGTTGGTCTGGGCAGGGGTGGCCCTCACGGGTGACATCATTGGCCTGAGGGAGGGACCCTCTGAAGCGTGGTTGAGGGGACCTCCTTGCCTTGCTTTGATACGGGACTTTGGACTGGAACATGCGGTGTTCCCCTGGGCAGCATGGTTCCCCGGATTCTTAGTCCGTTGGAGTCGAAGAATGAGTCCACGGACGGAAGATGGCATAGCAAAGGTGGAGGTTTATTGAAGAACTAGTACAGACTCCCACGTGGGGAGGGGGAAAGGTTCCCCTTGCCTGGCTTTGGAAAAGGCAAACCCAAAAGGTATTTCAGAGAAAAGACGATAATAGTATCTCATGCCTGGGGCCAGAGGGGAAGGAAGCTGGTCTGGGGCAGGGCTGCTTCCTGAGACAAGGAGTTCAGCAAACGGAGAGGGTGGCAGACCTGACCAGCTTTCTGCCCGATCTGGCCCTGGGCTCCCTCTCAATGAGCGTAAAGTTGGCTCAGCCCTGCTGGCGGGCACTTGGCCATAGAAACCCCGAATCAAGGAGCTAGCCCTGCAGAGGGTTGCTGCCTCCCCTCCTGCTGGGAGAGAAGCACCCAGGGCCACATCCAGAGGCCGCGTTTCACATGGGAAACAGCTATTCCCACCCTCCCACGTTTTACACATACATCGTCCAATTCCCACATTCGCAGCCAGTCTTCCCACACCTCCTCTGCCTTACAGGCCTGGTGGCCCCGGAACACGTCATAGAATAAGTACTCTCTTCCCTGTATCCTTAGATGACTCCAGTCCCCACGGATCCCTGCTTGCCACACTCCGGGTTCCTCTTCCAGCGCTCATCCCCAGGCTCCTCACATCACGGAACCCCTAACCTCTATCCTATTCCTAAGCCTGTCTCTCTTGCCTTCCTCACCCGCCCTGGCTCTCACACCTCACACTGGCCCATCCTATCCCACCCCACTCCCTAGGGCAGATTCTCTTGTTTGCTGCTTGACTATCTCCCTAATGAGAGTCTAAGCTCCAGGAGGGCTGGCACTTGTCTTGGTACCTCCGACTCCGTCAGAACTTAGCCTGGGGTCGCACATCCTGTTGGAAGAATGGCCAGATGAGTGACTCCTGTTCTCAGTTGAGGAATTACAACCGACATGCTTCTGCCTATGTTTCAAACACACATCCATGTATTAAAAAAGTCCCATGTACTTACCTGTTATCTATGTCTTTCACGGGTCTGTCTTCTCCTCATTATGAACCATGTTTTCCTACGTCTTTGCATGCTGGTAATTTTTTTATGGATGCCAGACACTGTGAAGTCTACATTGTTGGGTGCTGAGTATTGTGCATTCTTTTAAATATTTTTGAATTTTGCTCCGAGACTCAGGGAAATTGCTGGAAGCTGACTGGAAACGCGGGACTCTCTGAGGCTTGCTTTAATCGTTAGGACAGAGCCTGCACCTGGGGCTGATGTGGCCCACGCCTGTGTTTTGTGTTCAATGGCCCTTTTGTGAGGAGGTTTCTCCACTTGGGCTGTTGGGAGCATGAACTATTCCCTGTTCTGTGTTATCTGCCTCCTCCTTTCTCGGGGCTCCTTCGCAGTCTTGGGTGACTTTCTCACATGTATGCATTGGTTAGCTGAAGACTCAAGACTACCCTCCTCAGATCTCCAGAGAGAGCTCTCTCTCTGTTGTCTCTCTCTCTATCTCTATATCTATCCTTACCTCTCTCTCTCTCTCTCCCTCCCTCCCTCCCTCTTAAATATATTTTATTGGTCTCAGAGAGGAAGGGAAAGGGAGAGAGAGAGAGAGATAGAAACATCAATGATGAGAGAGAATCATTGATCTGCCACCTCCTGCATGCCCCCCATTGGGGATGGAGCCTGCAAGCTGGGCATAAGCCCTTGACTGGGACCCTTCAGTCTGCAGGCCGACACTCTATCCACTTTGCCAAACCAGCCATGGCTCTCTATCTCTATCTCTATCTCTATCTCTATCTCTATCTCTATCTCTATCTCTATCTCTATCATACCTCTTCCCTTCCCTCTCCCCTTCTCCCTACTTCACACCTCCCCCCTTCCCTTCAGCTCACTCACCTCTCGTACTCTCTTGCAAATTTAAGCTCCTTTGGCCTCCCTGGTCTTCCAGCTCCATTTCCTCAATCACAAGGCACCACCAGGCTCCCCTCCGGAACTGCAGCCTGGACTCTGCAGGTAGTGAGTTGGGGCCGTCATAGTCACAGGGCCTCCTCATTTGGTTCTCTTCTCTTGTATCAATGTCCTCTCCTGCCTTTTTTCAACATCTGAAAGCCATTGTTTTACATATGTGTTGTCTAGTTTTCAGTTGGTACTCTGTGCCACTGAACTGTGAGCCAGAAGTGAGCCAGAGAGACCGCACCCGGCTCGCGGGCCTCAGCCACAGAGCCAGCACCAAGCCGTGGGGCGGCACCAGCTGGGAAACAGGGGCTCTGGGCTCTGACCCCCACTCACCCACTGAAGAGGAGTCACTGAGTACTGACTCGTGCTGGGGATCGGTGAGCGCAAGACAGACAGGTCCCTGTTGCCAGGGAGCTTTTAGTCCTGTGGGTGGGGGGCTGCAGGCCACAGAATATAATCAAATAAAGATGATACATCAGACAGTGATGAAGAAAATAAAACATCGTCATGGGTTAGAGCAAGGGTCCTCAAACTTTTTAAACAGGGGGCCAGTTCAATGTCCCTCAGACTGTTGGAGGGCCGGACTATAGTTTAAAATAAAACTATGAACAAATTCCTATGCACATTGCACATATATTATTTTGAAGTAAAAAAACAAAACGGGAATACAATATTTGTATTTGCATGTGGCCCGCGGGCCGTAGTTTGAGGACCCCTGGGTTAGAGAGTAACTAGGGGTACCTCTAGTTGGGGTGATCAGGGAAAGCCCCCCAAGGAGGGGACTTTTGTCACTAACTAGCCACATATCAACAAGCCAGAGCCTCCCCTTTACTTCAGTTCCCTAATTATGTAAATGAGGGTGTGGATTAGAGGGGCCTATGGGGCCTGCCCAGCTTCGAAATTCAGGGACCCCTTTTCTCCTGCATGACCCTTTCAGCCGGCCCTGAGAAGAGGGAAATAAGCCCCTGGGAAGGAGAGAACAGGAGCAGCGGACAAGCACTTTTATTCTGTGAGCTTCATTTCCAGGCGCCATTCCTCTCCCTCTCCGTTCGTGCTCCCTGACCCCAGCCCCCACTCACCGCTGCCTAAGGGTTGGCCCACCCTCCGCAGGCTCTGCACCAGGTGCTGGGCCTGGAGTGCCAGGAGCCTCTCTGAGACACGACCCCGCAGCTGTTTCCTGGTGGGAGTTTCAGCCCCAATCCTGTAGTGCCCCAGGGCGCCCACACTGCGGAGCTCCTGAGCCATCCACGGCGCTCTGGGTGCTGCCTTGTCCTTAGACCGCAGGGTGGGTGGATCTCTGGAGACACAGCTCATGCCGATGCTGCCTACAGGTCAGCCTGGCATCAGGGTGATGGCCGAGAGACTGGAACTGGCCCTCACGATGCCCTGCATTCCACTGCCCTACCTTAGCTCCAGCCTCCCGCCTGGCCTGCCCTCGGCGTTCCTGTGGCAGAGGGTAGGCTGGAAAATAGCTGGAAATGACTATTATTCCCCCTATTCCACCCATGTGAGCCCTTGCACTACCTGGTGCTACTTCATGTCTGTGAGTGAGCAGCAGCCCTTGTCCAGCCCCAGCTCCCTGGCCCCGCCCGGCCTGCCAGCCACTCCAGCGCCCACAGCAAAGTGGCCCCAGCTCCCGGCAGCCTCCCAGACACCAGCCCTAAAGAAACAGTCTCCTCCATTGAAATCAAAGTCACGAGTTGCTCCCAGCAGGTCACTGCTGAAGCCAGGGTGAGTGAGGGGCGTTGTCGTCTGTCGTTCGTTCTTACTGGACCCTCACTGGAAACCTGAAAGGAGACCGGATGCTCTTGGTTAGGCTGTGCAGGGGCACCGACTTCTCTGGGATTGAAGGGCGAGGGGGCCTCGGGCAGTGCCCCTCTCAGTGCCCGGCTCCCAGGGCTTCAGCTACTCCCCAGGCTCGGAAGGGAGAAGCCCTCTTTGCCCTGGGCCAGAACCAACTCACGCTCCGACCCCAGGGCTCTCACGGGCTCTCCTACTTCATTCAGGGTCTCTCCCTGCTCTTTGCTCCAGGTATTGGGTCGGCTCTGGCCGGCCCCTCTGACCACACAGCCCCGCCTGTCAGCCCCTGGGTTCTAGCCAGGATGGTCCCCTATCTGTGCGCCGTGACTTTGGGAAAAATCGTGTTAGTTCTCTGGGCCTCACTCTCCTCCTTTCCTAATACCTGGGAAAGCACGGGACTGGCGTGGCTCCTGGCTTCTCCAGGTGTGGTCCAGGGACCAGCAGCCCGGGCATCCCCAGGAGCTCACCAAGAAGCACAGAACCTTGGGCCCCACCCAGGCTCACTGGACCAGAATCCGTGATTCACCGAAGCCCCTAGACTCAGTGGTGCATTCAAGTGCGAGGGGAACTGGTATGAGCCACATGCCGTTCGTTAATCTGCCTGAGGTTTCGCTATCACCACAGGAGCAAAAGGGAATTTCTGAAGATTCTTGGGCGGAGTAATGAACACAGTGTTTAGCAGAGCCTGCAGCAGGCGGAGAGATTGGGGGGTGAGGCGCGGTCCGGGGACCTGCAGGGGGTGGGGAGGGGGTGTGGCCTGCCTGAGGCTGCCGAGGAAGAATCCACGCTTCTCCGTGACACACTGGACTGGACGTGGGAGAAGCTGGGAGGACGAGGTGGAAAACAATTCAAGGCGAGAGCCCTCGGCCCCTCAGGTCTCATTCTGTGTGCAGCACTGGCCGCCTCCCTGTTCACCCCGCTGGTCTCTATGTTTAGAGCAGCCCCAGCTGTCCTCACTGAAGGACGGAGGACCGGCAGGCACACCCGAGTCCACGCAGGTGACGTGTCACAGTCGCTCTGCACCTGGTTCCCAGCTCTGCTGCGCGTTGGGAACCGAAGCCCGGGCCACTCCTGGGGCAGCTGGAATCAGTCTCCGGGGTGGGCCAGGTGACTCCCATGGGCCAACAGTGCCGAGACCCACTGCTTTCCTCTCTGCTCCAAGGACTGGCGGGGGCAGGTACGGGGCCCAACCGCGGGCGGCTGCTGGCCGGGTCAGCGGTCTGATGCTCCCTCTGCACACTGACCAGCAGTGGGCCAGGAGCGGCGGCTGAGCCAGCTACCCCCCAGGACTGTCACTGCCCCCCAGATGGGGCCGTGATGACGGGGGTGGGGCCGTGGAGAAGAAACGCCACAGGCTGGCGCAGGGGGCACAGACTCCAAGACAGTTCTGCACAAAGATAGACCACAGACCCAGGGAAAGGCGCATTGTGCAGGGCATGGTTTGCTGCGTGAGCCCAGTTAGATGGAGCTGTCCTCTGTATTAGACGTTGTGGCTGTGGGGTCCCGGAATGGAGGGCGCTGCTACAGATAAACCCCTGAAAACGCCGCATCTCGACCTGCGGGCCAGGTCTCAGCACACAGGCCACCCCTGCTCAGCTCCCCCCCCTCCCCCCCCACCACAGACATTATTCAGGAGACGCTGCCCACGGGGCAAAGGCGGAATCGGACCCTGACTGGTGAGGGGGAGGCTGCTGAGGTCACATGAGGCAGAGATGGCCTTTGCGTTTCGGTCTCTTCCCTAAAGTTCCATGTTCTTGTTTTTCCATGGGGAAGGTTCCAGAGCAAAGGGGAGAGGGCGCTGGAGGTTCCCCAGGGTGGAGACGTGGGGTGGGCGGTGGGGACACAGGCACTCAGACCGAGCCCTTCCAGGCACTAGCAGGGGTCACACCACGGTTCCTGTCCAGAGGGAAACACTTCCAAACTCAGGGGTGAAGGGAGATGGAAAACACTCTAGAAAGGATTTAACCTCATTTCCGTGGACTGTAAAGCCGTCCTTGGAGTTAGAAGCAGCGGATCTGACACCGTGGTGACTAACGCCTCCTCCAGGGAATGTGCATCTGTCCGCCAGTGCCCCTGGGCGGGGACTGAAATGTCCCACAGCCTCCCGTGGATCCTAAATCAAATCGATTCACCGGTCCTTGCTGAGGTCTGAGAGCCCGCGGGAGACTTATGCTAAATCACCCTCTCTGGGCCCTCGCTCTCGGCGACAGTCACAAATCCCCCATAATGAGCGATCGGAGAAGCCCAGACAGACGGGCCCCTAGATCGAGGGCAGAGGGAGCTGGGGAGAGGGACGTGTTTGCTTTGGCCGGGGTAGGGGCCTGCGCCTGGCCTGCGTGTTTGCCTGACAGGGAGGCTGATAAGTGGGCTGCGTCGCAAGTGCTGTGCAGTGGGACCTGGGCCATCTGCCGTGTCCACAGAGGCGGCACCTGCTGGCCGGTCGGCCGACCCAGCAGGAGAGGGGCCTTTGTCATCCTGTCTCAGCCTCCTTCGGCCCCATAGTTGTTTTTCTTCCCTGAAGAATGAAAACTGAACCCTCGAACTTGTTTGTTTTGATGAATGACTTCCAGGCTGCTGTTTGCTCGGAGAACAAAGCTCCCGCTGCGGGTGGAGGCCCAGGGGCCAGCAGGGCTTTGCAGGACGGCAGGCCCAGGAGAGGCGCAGAAAACCACTGCTCGCGGGGCAAGCGATTTGACGTCTGCGTGCCTCAGTTTCCTCACCTGTCAGAGGGCTCTGTATGCCTCACGGGAGTGCTGAAAGCCTGGGATGGAATAACGACATAGAGTGCATAACTGGTAATGCGTCGCACACGTTTTAGCCAGTGTTTCGCCCTGCAGCCCAGCTGCTGTGCCGCCTGGGCATCGAGCTGCTGGGAGATGCCACCCTGATCCCGGCCGTGGGTGAAGCTCTTCTCTTCCGAGAGGGTTGGAGGCAGAGCCTCTGCCATGTGTACAAAAGCCGAGGAAACCTGACTTAAAACATTGTTCCTCACTCCAGGGCTTCTTGACGGGAGAAAGGACAGTTGAATTTTATGAACTGTCCTGGGGAGGGACCTCCCTGCCCCAAACCCAGTCTCTTTCTCCATTTATGGCCCTGACTCCGCATCCCGCACCTCCTCAGAGAATTTCCCCTGCAGTCTGGTCCTCTGGTCCATGTCGTCAATTTCCTTTGTTCTTTCGTCACCACTTCACTCACCGTCTC